CATACTGGTCTTCCTTTATAAATATGCATTTCTTTAAACATAATTTAAAAGCAGTGTAAGGGAAGTAACCAAAACGTTGTATTTGGATTACCTCCCTTACACTGTTTTAAATTATCTTAATTGTTCATTAACCATTACTTTATACATAATTTAAAAGCAGTGTAAGGGAGATAATTTCAATGATGTATTTGATTTATCTCCCTTACACTGCTTTAAATTATGTTTTGTACTAAAGTATTTGTCCATTAATGAGGACAACCTTGTTTTTCCCCCTTTTTTGCCCCTAATTCTTAAACGGTTTGAGCAATAACCCCCCAAAGCAAATCCTAACCATCCCTTTGTGGTATGGAAACTTGTAGTATAATTTCAGAGAGATCCATACACTGTTCCACAGTTATTGTCTGGAAACTAGAAAATGCTTATTTTTGGCCCCTTTTTGGCCCCTAATTCCTTAACTGTTGGTACCATAACCCCCAAAATCAATCCCCACCTTCCTTTTGTGGTATTGAACCTTATGGTAAAATTTCATAGAGATCCACACGACGCTGGACGACGACAACGACGACGACGACGCCAACGTCATACCAATATACGACCACAAAATTTTTTTTTTTGCGGTCGTATAAAAATCTAAACACATGTTTAGATTCAGCATATCAAAGAACCCTAAAAATTCAATTTTTGTTAAAATCAAACTAAGTTTAATTTTGGACCCTTTGGACCTTAATGTAGACCAATTTGAAAACGGAACCAAAAATTAAGAATCTAAACACACGGTTAGATTCGGCATATCAAAGAACCCCAATAATTCAATTTTTGATGAAATCAAACAAAGTTAAATTTTGGACCCTTTGGACCTCAATGTGGACCAATTTAAAAATGGGGCCCAAAATCCAAAAACTTAATACACGGTTAGATCCAGCATATTAAAGAACCCCAAGAATTCAAGAATAAAACCCCATTGAAATTGATCAAGAAATAAGCAATTTATACGAAGTATCTTCTTTTGCACAATACTGTGCAATTGAATATTTCTTGCTATTGCGCAATACTGTACAATTGACAATTTCTTGCTATTGCGCAATATTGTGCTATTGGATATTTCTTGCTATTGCGCAATACTGTGCAATTGAAGATTTCTTGCTATTGCGCAATACTGTGCAATTGAAGATTTCTTGCTATTGTGCAATACTGTGCAATTGAAAATTTCTTGCTATTGCACAATACTTATTATATAATAATTTACACATCCTGTTTGGTGTGTATCTCCTACCATATCATTATTATTTGCTTTTAAATATTAATCAGAAATAACCAACTTAAAATGGAAAATTTTAAAAGAAAAAAAAACGGAAGAAAAAAAAAAAAAGAAAAACAAAAAATCCCCCCTCCCAAATATTTTGAACCCCCTTATGATTCATCACCCCCAAACTCAATACCAGCCTTCCCTTTGTGGTATGGTACCTTGCAGTACAAGTCAGAGAGATCCATACACTTGAACACAAGTTATTGTCTGGAAACTAGAAAAATGCTTATTTTTGGCCCCTTTTTGGCCCCCAATTCCTAAACGTTTCGGGCAATTACCCCCAAACTCAATTCAAGCTTTCCCTTTGTGATATGGAACCTTGTAGTACAATTTCAGAAATATCCAAACACTTACACACAAGTTATTGTCATGAAACTAGAAAAATGCTTGTTTTTTGCCCCTTTTTTGGCCCCTAATTCCTAAAATTTTGAGGCAATTACCCCCAAAATCAATTACAGCATTCCCTTTGTGATATGGAACCTTGTGGTACAATGTCTGAGAGATCCATACACTTACACACAAGTTATTGTCTGGAAGTTACAAAAATGCTTATTTTTGGCCCCTTTTTGGCCCCTAATTCCTTAACTGTTGGTACCATAACCCCCAAAATCAATCCCAACCTTCCTTTCGTGGTATTGAACCTTATGGTAAAATTTCATGGAGATCCATTCACTTAAACTAAAGTTAGAGTGCGAAAACCAATGTGTCTTCGGACGACGCCGGACGACGCCGACGACGACGACGACGACGACGCCAACGTCATACCAATATACGACCAAAAAAATTTTAATTTTTGCGGTCGTATAAAAAGCTGACATGAAATAAATCTGATATACGGAATTTTTTCAGCAATTTAACTAATCAATAACCAAGCATTTAAAGATATACATAATTTTACATATTATTAATGTTAATATTGTTATCTGGTCAATCAAAAAATTTAAACAAAATAAAAACAAGAGGCCCCTAATTCCTTTAAGGTTTGGACAATAACCCCCAAAATCAATCCCAACCTTCCTTTTGTGGTATGGAACCTTGTGGTACAATTTCAAAGATATCCATACACTTATACACAAGTTACTGTCCTGAAACAAGAAAAATATGGTTTGGACAATAACCCCCAAAATCAATCCCAACCTCCTAAAATTTTTTATACAATCGCAATTGGACAACGTCAACTTCATACCATTATACATTTTGCGATTGTAAAAATAATTTTGGAAAAAGGAATGCTGATTTGTAGAAAATTATAAGTTTATCAAATAAAATGCTTCGCTGGGGCGCAGCTTGATACGACCGCAGAGGTCGAACCCTGAACAGTTGGGGCAAGTATTGACACAACATTCAAGCTTGATACAGCACTGAATTTGGATTGCAATTAAATATTTGACACAGCATAGGTTTCTGACACAGAATGAAAGTGGTCTAAGAACTTAAAATTTTTTTATTTACCTATTCATACATGTGATGGACTGTGAAACTCAGATCAGGAGATTGGGAAATTTTGGTCAGGAGATTAGGACTCAGATCAGGAGGTTTTAATCGACATTAATTTTGTTGTAAATGTAACCGTGTGCTGTAAAAATGGTCTTTTAAAGTGTGTTTTCTTCAACTTTCCATCCAATTTATTATGTTTATAGTACCCTTGTACTTATAAAGTTTCTCCATCTTTATATTCTACATGTTCAATCTAACATTGTTTTTTATCAGTATGTTCTTTAATTTTTTTACTTCATATTCTATAAAACAATCGTTGCAACCAGAACATTTGTTTAACTATCTGCATATAGTTTTTATTTATTTTTTTTTTTTTATCTTGCAAATAGTTTTATTTGCATACTTAGAAAATCATTCTATCTGTAAAATAAGGGTCATAGTTATTATATAAATTTCAATTTAAACCTTGAAAGGAAGTATAGAATCCTCAAATAATTTTCAAATTATTATTTTTTTATTTGTCCTAAGACATTTAAAATCATTTAATTACCATCCTTTTATGATTATTTGTTCAATTTATATTTTATTTATATTCTTTTAAAAATTTTCATTATTAAAAGGAAAGAAACTTAAAACAGGATAAATCAAGGGAAGTAACCAAATAAATACACAGTTTTTGTTACACAACCGCAGTTAGCCTGAGGTAAAAATCGTTGATTACCAGTATGTTTGACACCCAAGCTGACAAGTGAAGCCATATAATTATGCATGTTAATTGATTTACAGGTAAAATATAACTTCAGGTAATGTCAGTTACACCAGATGCCTGAGATGATATGTTGGCATTCATACACAGGATTTTTCCCTCTTCAACGGGAGGTCGGGAGGAGACCCCTGAAAACGGGATTATTGTACTCCCGTCGGGAGGTTCTCATGTATGCTATTCAAACCATATCATTATTATTTGCTTTTATATATAAATCAGAAATAACCAATTTAAAATTGAAAATTTTAAAGAAAAAAAATGAAAAAAAAAATCCCCCCCCCCCAATTTTTTGAACCCCCTTATGATTCATCACCCCCAAACTCAATCCCAGCTTTCCCTTTGTGGAATGGTACCTTGCAGTACAATTTCACAGAGACCCATACACTTGAACACAAGTTATTGTCTGGAAACTAGAAAAATGCTTGTTTTTTTGGTCCTTTTTGGCCCCAAATTCCTAAACGTTTAGGGCAATTACCCCCAAACTCAAACCCAGCTTTCCCTTTGTGATATGGAACCTTGCAGTACAATTTCATAAAGATCCATACACTTACACACAAGTTATTGTCTTGAAACTAGAAAAATGCTTGTTTTTTTTGCCCTTTTATGGCCCCTAATTACTAAAATTTTGAGGGAATTACCCCCAAAATCAATCTCAGCCTTCCCTTTGTGGTATGGTACCTTTCAGTACAATTTCAGAGAGATCCATACACTTGAACACAAGTTATTGTCTGGAAACTAGAAAAATGCTTATTTTTTGCCCCTTTTTGGCCCCTTGTTCCTAAACTTTTTGGGCAATTACCCCCAAACTCAATTCCAGCTTTCCCTTTGTGATATGGAACCTTGTAGTACAATTTCATAAAGATCCATACACTTACAAACAAGTTATTGTCATGAAACTAGAAAAATGCTTGTTTTTTGCCCCTTTTTGGCCCCTAATTCCAAAAATTTGAAGGAAATTACCCCAAAAATCAATCCCAGTATTCCCTTTGTGATATGGAACCTTGTGATACAATGTCAAAGAGATCCATACACTTACACACAAGTTATTGTCATGAAACTAGAAAAATGCTTGTTTTTTGCCCCTTTTTGGCCCCTAATTCCTAAAATTTGGAGGCAATTACCCCCAAAATCAATCCCAGCATTCCCTTTGTGATATGGAACCTTGTGGTACAATGTCAGAGAGATCCATACACTAACACACAAGTTATGTCTGGAAGTTACAAAAATGCTTTTTTTTGGCCCCTTTTGGCCCCTAATTCCTTAACTGTTAGTACGACGACCCCCAAAATCAATCCCCACCTTCCTTTTGTGGTATTGAACCTTATGGTAAAATTTCATTGAGATCCATTCACTTAAACTAAAGTTAGAGTGCGAAAACTAATTTGTCTTCGGACGACGACGCCGGACGACGACGACGACGACGCCAACGTCATGCCAATATACGACCACAAAAATTTTTTTGCGGTCATATAAAAATAAGAAAACAAATACTTAAATGGTCAACAATTTATTTATAACAGATATTGCAAATAACAATTGTACCACCACTCTTCCAAATGTATAGTAATGGCAATACAATAATGCTGTCTCATAAATATCATCGACAAATAACATGTAATAAATTCAGAATGAACATCAATGAAGAACAATTAGCATTTAAAATGAATTAAACTATATAACAGTCATTTAGTTTTCAATGATTGAATACGTATGATGAAGCTACAAAAATCTTTAGTGGTGGGATGGGTGTTTCATACGTAATAGTTTATATTTCTTTCTGGTATCTACAAATCATTTTATAAAATCATAAAACTTTTGAATATTCTAAATTTTACCAAAACTTTAGAATAATTTTTGTTGCTTTCACAATGCAATCTTTGCTACAATAAACTGTTGAAACAGACAATTTTTCTACAAGTGACTGTATATGTTTGAAACCTTAACTAATAATATAAAAATTGTTCAACAAACTATTAAAGGAGCATTAGCTGTCAAATTCATGTTCACTAATTTGACTCAAATTGTCATTTTGATTTAGAACATACTAAAACTTATATCCAAATTATAAAAAGTCTAAAATAAACAATTTCGATTCAAAATAGATGTACATTTGTATAGAAATCATGTAAAATTGGCACTTTGCTAATGATATTTTCAAAGCATTAAATAGATATTTTCTGTAATTATTGCAGTCTTCATACCATCTCTTTTCAACAAAATGACACACAAGTTTTTAGTACAAATAATTTGGAATGAATATATAATACCTAATACTTCTCCAATAAAGTCAGAAAATATTTCACTTAAATTACACATCAAATATGTACACATTTTCTATTGACACACTAATATAACAATACTTATATATATAACTCCTGATTATATAAGTATATAGTTAAAAGTATATTTTTTGCAGGGTGATTTACAATTTTTACATCATTTTAAACCCAGTGTATATGTATAGATCCACATAGAATACTGAAATAAATCATTTCTCTGATGAAGAATGGTAAAATACCATATAGCGGGTTATTTTCGCGGGTGTAAAATTTCGCTATTTAGGAGCATTAAAGTATATGAAAATTTTGGCGGTTTTTATTTTGGCGGATTCTTTAATCACAATTAAATATTTTGGCAGATACTGAAATAGTTGCAGTTAAAAAGTTGTAAAAATTGACAAACAAGGGTCTATTGTTATGGTTAAATGTTTGTTTTAGGTGCATGACCTGCATACAGTTAATCAATAGAATACTGGTACATAGTTATTTGTCACAGGTGTACAATCTTCTTGTAAATGTTACGGTTGATTAGTTAGGAAATTGACCGGACCTTTGATGTATTAATTAGATTATAAAATTATCATGAGTGACTTGCAACTTTTATATGATTTGACAGGATAAAATACCTGACAGCGTACCTTACACTCTTATATCATTATTTATTTTATTATGTAATGAATAAACTAATTAACACCTGACAGCCAGTGAAAAATGACCTTTGGCCTTTGTTGTTTTAATTAACATAAACCGTTATTGATCCGTCGAACAGGAAAAAATAGATATTTTCCAAAAACGCTTTAGCTATTAGAAAGTATCGAACGTATGCATAAATTTTCGCAGAATTTATTTTTCGCGATTTCCCCTGACCCGCCAAAATAAGCGAAAATAAACACCCCGCAAAAATAACCCGCTATACGGTACCTTATATAGCTACAGCAGGAAAAACACCATAAAGCATAAATGATAATTCAATATTTAAGTTTTCAAATTACTTTAACATAAAACTAGAGGCTCTAAATAGCCTGTGTCGCTCACCTTGGTATATGTGCATATCAAACAAAGGACACTCTCCAACATTGTAGATGAGAATACACTTCATGACAAAAATCTCTATTTTGTTGATCTTGTATTACTGATCTTTTAGTCTGTTTAGGTTCTCTCTCTATCTTCTTTAGTTTTTGCTCAAAACACAAAAGAGGGTAAAAAAATCCTCATCTAAAGGCAATCACACCTATGAAGAGTGAGTCTACTAACTATATCGGCAAAATTTGACTTTTTAATAGATCTTGCCTTGCTAATCATTTTTGTGATTAAAAGTGTTTATTTATCTATTATAATTTAAATCATATAAGGCATAATGGAATAAAAATGTTTCTCTCCAAATATCATAGTTTTCATAATAGGCAAAAATGAAAAAAAATGGTAAAATTTGTCATTTTATATGGGCAATAACTCCTATAAAAATTTGTCTAACAGTTTTGACGTATATGGACAATTGTTAGAGCTCATAATATTCTGAACATTTTTGCTACTTTCAGATTTTCTTTATTTACAACGGTTCAAAAAATAATAGATAAAATTTGCATTTTACCCCTATGTTCTATTTTTAGCCATGTCGGCCATATTGGTTGGTAGGTGGGGTCATCAAACACATTTTTAAAACCACATACTCTAATGATGATTGTGGCCAAGTTTAGTTAAATTTGTCTCGGTAGTTTCAGAGGAGAAGATTTTTGTAAAAGATTACAAAAATTTACAAATAAATTGTTAAAAATTGACTATAAAGGGCAATAACTCCTCAAGGGGTCAATTGACCATTTTGGTCATGTTGACCTATTTGTAGATCTTACTTTGCTGAACATGAAAGAAGCTTGACAAGGAGACCCCTCTCTGAATATAATTGTTATTTACAGTTTATCTCTATCTATAATAATATTCAAGATAATAACCAAAAACTGCAAAATTTCCTTAAAATTACCAATTCAGGGGCAGCAACCCAACAACAGGTTGTCTGATGCGTCTGAAAATTTCAGAGCAGATGGATCTTGACCTGATGAACATTTTTGCTCCATGTCAGTTTTGCTCTAAATGCTTTAGTTTCAGCGATATAAGCCAAAAACTGCATTTTACCCCTCATGTTTTATTTATAGCCATGGTGGCCATCTTGGTTGATGGGTGGGGTCATCAGATATATTTTTTAAACTAGATACCCTAAGGATGATTTAGGCCAAGTTTGGTTTAATTTGGCCACATAGTTTCAGAGGAGAAGATTTTTGTAAAAGATTACAAAAATTTATGAAACATTGTGAATAATTGACTTTAAAGGGCAATTACTCTTTATGGAGTCAATTGACCATTTTGGTCATGTTGACTTATTTCTAGATTTTACTTTGCTGTTAACAGTTTATCTCTATCTACTATAATATTCAACATAATAGCCAAAAACTGCAAAATTTCCTTAAAATTACTAATTCAGGGGCAGCAACCCAACCATGGGTTGTCTGATGTGTCTGAAAATTACAGATAGATCTTGACCTGATAAACATTTTTACCCTTTGTCAGATTTGCTTTAGTTTCAGAGATATAAGCAAAATACTGCATTTTACCCCCATGTTCTATTATTAGCCATGGCAGCCATCTTGGTTGATGGGCGGGGGTCATCAGATATATTTTTTAAACTAGATTCCCTAAAATGATTTAGGCCAAGTTTGGTTTAATTTGACCCAGTAGTTTCAGAGAAGAAGATTTTTGTAAAAGTTAACAGACGACGGACACCAAGTGATGAGAAAAGCTCACTTGGCCCTTTTGAGCCAGGTGAGCTAAAAAGGGAGATGTAATGTAATTACCAATGAGACAATACCCTTTTCCAAAATAAAATTAAAAAAACCCAGAAAGCAATAAATAAACCTAAATGTATAATGAAAACATCATACAGATGCCCAATAAACCTTCAACAGTGTAAACAATAGCATAAGCTCTGAAAGGTTATGATAAAAAAAACATTTTTTAGTATTGGATTATCTATCTGTTTTTTAAGTCCAACTTATTTTAATAATTAGAGGAAAAAAAAATAAAACAAATGTTTATTGAAATTAAAGAGAAAAATAGGATATACTGTCTTACTCTATTATAATTTCTACACAATAGCAATTTCAACTGTATTCAAATGTAGAAATTTTCACATACGGACCTTTTTCACATATATATATCAAGTTGGATTAATTGTCATATGTATGACTTAAAATTGCCATGTAATATTCTTATCAAAAAGTAATAATTGAATTCCGCAACAGTTACTCTGATTCAAGCAACATAAAAATTATCACTTATTTATTTCTGCATAAGTGTTACAAATAATTTCATCACAAAACTAATCATATGCATATTATGCACATATTTTTTTAAAAAATAAATCAAGTCTGAAACAGGCCAAATCAGTATTTGGACCATATATGTACAAACATGTTATATCATATATATTATATATTATAATAGCAGGTGCACAACTTCATGTCCTGTAGAAAAATCTCTACAAGTCAAGGAGTTGAAACAAAAGTGTGACGCAGATAATGACAAAGTAAGACAGAAGTCACACCTTTGCTGTGAGGCAACCAAAAAATATCATCAGACTTAATTTCAATATATGATCATCAATTGAAATTAACTTTTCTTAGTCTTCATAATTCTGGGTAAATATTAAAGGAAATGTGATCTGTTATCTCTTTTGCTGCAACTCAAAATGGTTTCCATTCCTTGGTTAATGATGGAAGTGTTTAACAACCTTGACTGGCTTTACAGCCCTTGGTTGTTGTTTTTTTTTACTTTTAAAATTTAAAATAAAAGGTAAAATCTTCTTGTGGCATTTTATAAGATCTTTGGCTACTAGCAATAAATATGCTGAATGAGGAAAAGTCACCATATGATTTTACTAAATATATTGATCATGTTGATATTTGTTACTATTTTACAAGTAACCAGAATGTACTTATAAGGATCATATGTTAATACACTCTTGTGGTCAGTTCATTTGTTAATGGTCCACACACTAAAATGGTCAGGAACAATAACATGAATAATTGCCTTTACCTACTGACACAAAATCACTGAGATATATGGTTATGATTAAAATAGCAACAAAATAAATGTTTAAAGTCTCAATGAAATTATATTTCAGGAGAACACATTAAAAGAAACAGTCTTAGTTATTATACAGCAGTTATTTCCCCTTCACAATGAGGACAACAGTTGAATGTTAAATTGTCAAATTTGGCTCTTGGATGATATCTTGGTACTACTGCTGACTCTGGGTTACATACTATAGCTGGATGATGTGATTTTATGTCATCTGTAGTTATTCTTCTTGACAAAATCTGCAAAACAATGTTGTGAGGTGAAAAATCTGTATAAATAAACATTTTTAGACAAATCTTCCTTTGTGTTCAAGAATTTTTGGTCTGTCTTTTTAATTTATTTAATAGTTACTGTTTATCTAACTTCAAGTGGCAATATATTACTGAGAAATTACCTGGAGTAATAGGTTTTCAAACATGATTGGATAATTTTGGTGAACATTCATAAAATTGATATCACTATATACTTATGTAGAAATAGTGGCAACAGCTCTTGGCACAGTATTGTAGAAGTGAATAGTTGTTGTATCATGAAAACATGCAATCTGATAATTTCGCGAATACAGCAATATGCTAACAGGCAAACTTATTCTATAAATGGAAAAATTAATGCAATTAATTGTTAAGTCTTAAATACTGATTAAACTTGGATATAGTGTAATAAAATTGAGTATGGAAATGGGGAATGGGTCAAAGAGACAACAACCCGACCATAGAGCAGACAACAGCCAAAGGCCACCAATGAGTCTTCAATGCAGCGAGAAACTCCCGCACCCGAAGGCATCCTTCAGCTGGCCCCTAAACAAATATGTATACTAGTTCAGTTATAATGGACGTCAAACTAAACTCCAAATTATACACAGGAAACTAAAATTAAAAATGATACAAGACTAACAAAGGCCAGAGGCTCCTGACTTGGGACAGACGCAAAAATGCGGCGGGGTTAAACATGTTTTTTGAGATCTCAACCCTCCCCCTATACCTCTAGCCAATGTAGAAAAAACAAACGCACAACAGTACGTACAGTAAAACTCAGTATAAGAGAAGTCTGAGTCCGATGTCAGAATAGGAAACAAAAGAAAATAAACAAAATGACAATAATACATAAATAACAACAGACTACTAGCAGTTACTGACATGCCAGCTCCAGACCTCAATTAAACTGTCAATATATTTTTATTACACCTTCAAGAAAATACAATTTACAATATTTGTTTTAATAAGAACACTCCTTTATTAGACCAATATTTCCATATTTTTAATGAGTGGATAACTGTAAGAAACTATTGCCGCCATTTAATGAAACTATGCATTCGACATGAATCAAGATAATTGATTACTAACCTCATAAGCATAGGACTCAGCATGTGTGAGTGTGTCCTCCCACCTAAGGTCCATATTTATGCTGATCTCTGGAGTCCTATTACTGGGTAACAGTCTATATTTAATGCTTTCTGACAGATTATGATTAGCTTTGGCAAGGTCCAGATTATTGTTAGAGTTCTGAGGGACTGACCTATGAATGTTCAAGGGGTCAAATGCTGCTCTAATCTGCTGTAAAGATCTGCAAAATAAAGTTACAGGTTTTAATTTGTTTAATACTACAGATTGAAAATGCCTGCATTTTCCAAAACTTTTGGATGACCAATTTCTGAAATCCGTAATGAGCCTTATAAAACTGGTCAAAACTTTTTTTCACAAATATGGAGATTTCTTGTGAAAGCATGATTCTTCTAGCAGGAATTACAAAAATGATTTTTCATTATAATAATATCATTAACAAGCATTCTGTGAGTATTGCATGGCAATACATAGTCCCCTACCAGTTAAAATGTCATTGTATTTGAACAAAATTGTAACTTGATCTATAACTTGTCAAGGTGTAAACTATATAACGAATATCAAGTCAATATCTTCAAGCATGACGAAAAAAAAGTGTTGAAAACTGATTATTTAAGTGAATTTTCTAAGTCCAAGGTTCATAACTCTGCACAAAATCATCAGACCGGAACAAAATTTGAAATTGATCTGTAACTTGTCATGATAAAACTATATACCAATTTTCCAATCAATATTTTCAAGGATGACGAAAAAAAGTGCAGATAAACTGTTAACACAGAGATATGTCTGTCCTTGACCTTGTTATATGCTATAAAAAAACATTTGCTAGTAGCCTTATCACATATTTTGATTTTTTTTATTCCAGTCATTGTTTTGGCATAAAGAGTTTTCTAATTCCGTAAAATGGGTGAAATAAACTCGTTTTTGGTTGTTCTACTTTTATTTGATGAAAATATAGCTTATAACAAATTTTGGAATGCTACTGAAATTTACTCAGAATTAATTTTTAGTCCTGAACAGTAAAATCTCTTTTATACAGGAGGCAAATCTTGTTATTCATCTCATTATATGCATCGGAAAAAATTGGTTTTAAAAACACATAAACTGTTAACACAGATATATGTCTCGCCTATTTGTTATTTTGATAATGCAAATCTTGAAATTAAAATAGTATTACTTTAATATGTAAGTTATGCAAATATTCAAAGTCAATGAACCCTGACTGAAGTACATGGCTAAACAATCTCCATAGAAATGAAATGTGCCAATGCTAATTATACAACTGCATACCAAATACCATTGACTTATCATAAGTCGTACCCTTTAAACAAACCTAAACATAAACATTAACTTGTAAACTATGTAAAAATTTCAAAGTTAATGAACCATGATGAGGGGGTGGGGCTATATAATCTCAATGGCAACGAGACTTGCAAATGCCAATAAATTTGCATACCAAATATCATTGACTTAACATTAGCAGTTAATCTTAAACTGATCTAATCACAAACTAATATATGTAAACTAAGCAAAAGTTTCAAAGTCAATAGACCATGACTGAGGGGGCTGGGCCAAATATTCTCCAAGGAAATGAGATTTACTAATGCTTATACAACTGCATACGGCTACCACTAAAGGTTCCCCTTAAACTGACCTAATCACAAACTAATACATGTAAACTAAGCAAATGTTTCAAAGTCAATAGACCATGACTGAGGGGGCCGAGCCAAATAATCTCCAGATATGCCAATGCTTATACAACTGCATACCAAATATCATTGACCTACCACTAGTAGTTCCCAATAAACTGACCAAATCACAAACTAATACATGAAAACTAAGCAAAAGTTTCAAAGTCAATAGACCATGACTGAGGGGGCGGGGCCAAATAATCTCCATGGAAATGAGATATGCAAATGCTGATACAACTGCATACCAAATATCATTGACCTACCACTAGTGGTTACCCATAAACTGACCTAATCACAAACTAATACATGTAAACTAAGCAAAGTTTCAAAGTCAATAGACCATAACTGAGGGGGCGGGGCCAAATAATCTCCATGCTAATGAGATGTGCCAATGCTAATACAACTGCATACCAAATATCATTGACCTACCGCTAGTGGTTCACCATAAACTAGGACTCATCACAAACTAATACATTGTTGACAACGCCGCTGATGCCGGAAACAGCATACCTATGTCTCGCTTTTTGACTCCGTCAAGGCGAGACAAAAAGCGATTATTTGAGTGAATTTTTAAGTTCAACTTGAACCGTAACTTGTCATGATAAAACTATATACTAATTATCAAATCAATATCTTCAAGAATGACAAAAAAAAAATGTGGAAAACTGATTATTTTAGTGAATTTTCTAAGTCAAAGGACCATAACTCTGCACAAAGTCATCAGACTGGATCAAAATTTGAACTTGATCTGTAACCGGTCTTGATAATACAATACCCCAAATATCAAATCAATATCTTTAAGCATGCAGAAAAAAAGTGTGAAAAACTGATTTGCCGGACTGACGGATGGACAGACAGACAAACAGACAGAGTGCAAACCTAAAGTCCCCTTTGACTTCATCGGTAGGGGACTAATAAAGCAATCAAACATTTTAACTGTTAATCAAATCTTCCATTTTAGCTTAATAGACTTATTGATAAAAGTAAATACAGTTTTGTTTATGAATTGACACAATGGATATATGTAACACTCAGAAACGTGTCCTTCCCCCCAAACGTGTCCGATTCCCCCAAACGTGTCCACATGACGTCACTGAACTGCAAAACATGTCTAAGTGTAAAAGGGTGGCAAAGCGTGTCATTTGTCTAAACGCCCAAACGTGTCCATTCCCCCAACCGTGTCCATATCAAGCTTAATTTTTTTTTTCTTTTACTGGAACTATCATTCGTGTCCATATTACAATAGGTACTAGAATTATTTGTATGTTCGCTCTAAATGAGCATGAAATAATTGCAACTGGACAATAAGCACCCAAACGTGTCCACATGACGTCACTGAACTGCAAAACAAGTCTTAATGTAAAAGGGCGCCAAAGCGTGTCATTTGTATGAACGCCCAAACGTGTCCATTTTTTAATAAACACCTAAACGTGTCCAATCCCCCAAACGTGTCCATATCAACCTTCATTTTTTTTTCTTTAAATGAACTATCATTCGTATCCATATTATAAATAATGTCGTTAAAATAATGCATGAAATATTTGGCACTGGACGTTATTTCTCTTGTTCGTGTGTCTTTAGTGATGCTCGAAACCTAAAATTTATTAAAAAACCTGAAAACCAGTTTATGATTTGAAGAGCTTTTAAAATATCAGAACTGTTGAAAAAAGAGGAAGTCAATTCTGCTAAAAGCCCGCCGTATGATCAATATAAAAGGCATCGTCGGAGTTTATTAGTAACACATAATTTACATAGTAAACGATTTTAAAATTCAACTGCACTAGATTTATTTGTATGTTCGCTCTAAATGAGCATGAAATACTTGCAACTGGACAATAAGCAAATTCAGTCAAAAGTTAATTCATATGTTACATATTAAATTTGCAATTATGATAATCTTTAACAACCGACATTGAACAAACTAATGCTAATAAATTACTACCTCATCAACTGTTTCCCCCAATCATAGAATTGCCGTAAACGCGTTATTGAATTCATTCAGGACATACATGTATTAGCGCTAAAAGACGTGAGACGTTCTGGCGTTAAATAGTGGACACGTTTCGGCGAATAACAATTATTGGACACGTTTTGGGGTTATGAAATCGGACACGTTTGGGGAATATTGAATATTACGGACACGTTTGGGGAGAATAGACACGTTTGGGGGAATCGGACACGTTTGGGGGGAAGGACACGTTTGGGAGTGTTACATATATATTTTTTTTTAGGGTGGGGGGAGGTCTTTTATATACTTATAGCTTGAAAAAGAACTAAAATATATTTATTTTTCTGTGGAAACAATTTAATCTTGGCATTTTACCGCATTTATTCTGCACTGTTCATGATTGTGCTGCATGAAATCTATTCAGTAAAGTGGCCAATATAAGAGTGGAAGTATGCATACATTTTTATCACCAGATTAAGTACTGGGAGTAAATCATTTTCTTTTCATGAATCCAGTGATACCTGTCATAGTAAAATGACCAAGACAACTAGTAAGTCATTGGTAAGTGGCTATTATTAACTATTTTCACTAGTATTTAAGGGTCATTTAAGGTATTGAACTTCCTGTAGTCCATGAAGATTGTCAAAACTCTGTGTAAATTTTGTATTGGAGGCATGACAATGATATAAAGACTAGAGTATAATAGTAAAACCAGGTCATAAACTAAAATCTCAGGTTATTTAATGATCCAGTGAAAAATTACAAATTCACAGATGAGTGGGCAGAATTTGTATGGGGCCATATACTTGGTGTCTCTTTTGAATTTATTCACAGAAGGACAGATTTGTGGCAAATTCACAACATATTATGTAGAATTAAGGACTGCAGGGATTCTGATTAACCATTTTTGTTCATTTGTGTTGTTTGATTGATGTTTACCCCATATCTCAAGACTCCTTTTGTACATTGATAGCAAAACATTACAACACATTCATAAAGAGATACAGTGATGGAATCTGTTTCTCTGATAATTTTTTTTATGAAATGAAGACAAACTTATCTCTCTTTTGCAGTGATCTGCAAAAATATTGAAGATTGTGTTTTTCTGTTTGACTTCATCAGACATGGTCACTTTTTTTCATGACATCACAACAGCCAAAACAAAGGTAAAAAGCAAGAAAATTTACATCATAATTGAATTTTGACCAATGAAGAACTGAGATCTTTTGAAACACACTTTGAATATTAGAAAATGTTAAACTGTATGGGGAAAGAATAACCATTCTTTTTAAATCAAACAATATTTACCTATTACATTCTACCATGTTTGTTCTCAATTCATGTCTCTCGTCTAATAACTGTTGCAGTGCATTCTGGGATTCCTGATACTGCATAGCAAAAAATGATTTTGCACTAGCTAATTCATCATTCATTACTCTGAAAAATGAAAACAATGTTATATGATAATTTTGATTTATTGAACAATAAAATGCTTCTCTGAGTGCAGCCTGATACGACCGCAGAGGTCGCACCCTGAACAGTTGGGGCAAATTTGGACACAATATTCAAGCTTGATACTGTCTGAATTTGGGTTGTGATCAATTTTTTGACATAATATAGGTTTCTGACACAAAATAAATGTGGTCAAAGATCTTATAAATCCATTGCGCAATACTGTGCAACTGAAGATTTCATCTTGAAACTTTTCAAAAATTCGAAATTTTAAAAATTTTGAAATAAAAATATGAATCCCTTAAAAAAATTGGGAAAAAAATCCCCCCCCAACTTTTTGAAACCCCCCTTGGAGCAATAACCCCAAAATTCAATCCAAGCCTTTCCTTTGTAGTATGGAAACTTGTAGTACAATTTCAGAGAGATCCATACACTTACACACAAGTTATTGTCTGGAAACTAGAAAAATGCTTGTTTTTGGCCCCAAATTCCTACCTGTTTGAGGCAATTAACCCCAAACTCAATCCCAGCCTTCCCTTTGTTATATGGAACCTTGTAGTACAATTTCAGAGAGATCCATACACTTACACACAAGTTATTGTCTGGACACAAGAATAAACTGTTATCACAGAGATATGTCTCGCTTTTTGGTTATTTCGATAATGCAAATGTTGAAATTAAAATAGCAACACTTTTACATGTAAGTTTTGCAAATATTCAAAGTCAATGAATCATGACTGAAGGTACATGGCCAAACAATCTCCATGGAAATGATATGTGCCAATGCTAATACAACTGCATACCAAATACCATTGACTTATCATAAGTATAGTTCCCTTTAAACAAACCTAAACACAAACTAATACATGTAAACTAAGCAAAAATTTAAAAGTCAATAGACCATAACTGAGGGGGCGGGGTCAAATAATACAACTGAATACCAAATATCTTTAACTTACCACTAGTGGTTCACCATAAACTAGACCTAATCACAAACTAATACATTGTTGACGCCGCTGCCAACGCCGCCGGAAACAGCATACCTATGTCTCGCTTTTTGACTCCGTCAAGCGAGACAAAATGCTTGTTTTTGGCCCCTTTTGGCCCTTAATTCCTAAACTGTTGGCCCCATAACCCCTAAAATGAATCCCAACCTTCTACTTGTGGTATTAAACATTGTGGTACAATTTCAGAGCAATCGAAATACTTATACACAAGTTATTATCCTGAAACTAGAAAAATGCTTGTTTTGGGCCCGTTATGGGCCCCTAATTCTTAAACAGTTGGGACCATCATCCCCAAAATCAATCCCAACCTTTCTTTTGTGGTATTGAACCTTCTTAATAATTTATAGAGATCCATTCACTTAAACTAAAGTTATTGTCCGGAAACCAATGTGTCTTCTGACGCAGATGCCGCAGAGGACGACATCATACCATTATACGATCCCAAAAATTTAATCCTAATTCTAAAACTATAGCAAAACCAGAGTGCACACGCTGAAATGTCTCACCTTCTTTACTGACCATTGATTTTATGTTTAAGTCTTAAAGATAAAGATTTTACTACAAGTATCAAATAAACTTGACATTTTTAAAGACTCATGACAATGAGGTCAAGGTCAGATAAATCTTGTTAGACTGACATAAACACCTTACAATTTTTCATACACCAATTATGGCTGACCTATTGCTTATGGTAATTGAAAAACAGACCAAAACACAATAAAATGCTTCGCTGGGGCGCAGCTTGATACGACCGCAGAGGTCGAACCCTGAACAGTTGGGGCAAATATGGACACAACATTCAAGCTTGATACAGCTCTGAATTTGGATTGTTATTAAATATTTGACACAGCATAGGTTTCTGACACAGAAAGAATGTGGTCTAAGAACTTGAATTTTTTTAATTTACCTATTATGGTCCAATGTCCAAAATCAAAATACATGGTTAGATTCAGCAATTCAAAGAACCCCATATATTCAATTTTTGTTAAAATCAAACAAAGTTTAATTTTGGACCCCAACTTGGACAAACTTGAAAACTGGGCCCATAATCAAAAATCTAAACACATGTTTAGATTCAGCATATCAAAGAACCCCAAGAATTCAATTTTTGCTAAAATCTAAATAAGTTTAATTTTGGACCCTTTGGACCTTAATGTAGACCAATTTAAAAAACAGGACTTAAAATTAAAAATCTAAATACACTGTTAGATTTGGAATATCAAAGAACCCCAATAATTCAATGTTTGATGAAATCAAACAAAGTTTAATTTTGGACCCTTTTGACCTCAATATGAACCAATTTGATAGCGGGGCCCACAAATAAAAAATCTAAATTCATGGTTAGATTCAGCAAATCAAAGAACCCCATATATTCAATTTTTGTTGAAATCAAAAAAAGTTTAATTTTGGACCCCAACTTGGACCAACTTGAAAACTGGGCCCATAATCAAAAATCTAAACACATGTTTAGATTCAGCATATCAAAGAACCCCAAGAATTCAATTTTTGTTAAAATCAAACTAAGTTTAATTTTGGACCCTTTGGACCTCAATGAAGACCAATTTGATAAACGGGACCCAAATTAAAAATCTAAAAACACGGTTAGATTTTGCATATCAAAGAACCCCAATAATTCAATTTTTGATGAAATCAAACAAAGTTTAATTTTGGACCCTTTTGACCTCAATATGAACCAATTTGAAAGCGGGGCCTACAAATAGAAAATCTAAATACATGGTTAGATTCAGCATATCAAAGAACCTCATATATTCAATTTTTGTTGAAATCAAACAAAGTTTAATTTTGGACCCCAATTTGGACCAACTTGAAAACTGGGCCCATAATCAAAAATCTAAATACATGTTTAGATTCAGCATATCAAAGAACCCCATATATTCAATTTTTGTTGAAATCAAACAAAGTTTAAATACTGGACCCTATCTTGGACCAACTTGAAAACTGGGCCCATAATCAAAAATCTAAACACATGTTTAGATTCAGCATATCAAAGAACCCCAAGAATTCAATTTTTGTTAAAATCAAACTAAGTTTAATTTTGGACCCTTTGGACCTTAATGTAGACCAATTTGAAAACTGGACCCAAAATTAAAAATCTAAATACACTGTTAGATTCGGCATAACAAATAAATAAATGTGATCAAAGATTCTACAAATCTAATGCGCCATACTGTGCAATTAAAGACTTCTTGAAATTTTTCAATATTTGAAATTTGAAAAAAAAATAATTTTTGAAGAATAATTCTTTTTAATTTCTGAAATCTGAAATGAGAAAAAATTGACCCCCCACAATTTCTTTTTATCCCCCCCCCCTTTTTTTCCCCAAAAAAATTCTTTCCCTCAAGATATGGTCATAATCTCAATTCAAATTTCCAATGGAGTTGGCAACCATAATTACCCATTTAAATTTACCATAGTGCTAACTTAATCTATTTTCTAATAGAATTAAAAATATAGTGTCAAATCTTTCATATGGATTTTTTTGTAAAAAAAAAAAATGCACCATTTGCAGATATTTTTACTGGTCTTCCTTTATAAATATGCATTTCTTTAAACATAATTTAAAAGCAGTGTAAGGGAAGTAACCAAAACATTGTATTTGGATTACCTCCCTTACACTGTTTTAAATTATCTTTATTGTTCATTAACCATTACTTTATACATAATTTAAAAGCAGTGTAAGGGGGATAATTTCAATGATGTATTTGATTTATCTCCCTTACACTGCTTTAAATTATGTTTTGTACTAAAGTATTTGTCCATTAACCAGGACAACCCTGTTTTTCCCCCTTTTTTGCCCCTAATTCCTAAACGGTTTGAGCCATAACCCCCCAAATCAAATCCTAACCATCCCTTTGTGGTATGGAAACTTGTAGTATAATTTCAGAGAGATCCATACACCGTTCCACAGTTATTGTCTGGAAACTAGAAAATGCTTATTTTTGGCCCCTAATTCCTTAACTGTTGGTACCATAACCCCCAAAATCAATCCCAACCTTCCTTTTGTGGTATTTACCTTATGGTCAAATTTCAAAAAGATCCATTCACTTAAACTAAAGTTAGAGTGCGAAAACCAATGTGTCTTCGGACGACGACGCCAACGTCATACCAATATACGACCACAAAATTTTTTTGCGGTCGTATAAAAACTGAACATTGACCAATGAACCATGAAAATGAGGTCAAGGTCAGATGATACTTGCCAGACAGATATGGCTTTAAAATTATTCCATACACCAAATATAGCTGACCTATTGCTATTAGTATTTGAATAACAGACCAAAACACAAAACTTAACAATGACCAATAATCCATGAAAATGAGGTAAATGTCAGATGATACCGGCTAGACCGACATGTACCCTTTACAATCATTCCAAACACCAAATTTTGTTGACCTATTGCTTATAGTACTTGAAAAACAGACCAAAACACAAAGAGTTAACATTGACAATGAACCTCATGGTCAAGGTCAGATGAATCCTGACAGACTGACATGTACCCCTTACAATCATTCCATACACCACATACATGACATATAGTTGACCTACTGCTTATAGTATCTGAGAAAGGAACCTAATCACAGAACTTTAGCCTTGATCACTGATCCATGAAATGAGGTTGAGGTTAGGTGAACCCTATCTAACGGACATGTTGACGTCACAAAGAACCCATATACCAAATATAGTTATCTTATTACTCATAATTAGTGAAAAATTCATATGACAAAAAAATTATAATTTTTTTTCAAGCAGTCACTGAACCATGAAAATGAGGCATATGACAGACGGAAACTTGGTATCATAAGGTATCTGTATACAAAGTATGAAGCATCCAAGTCTTCTAACTTCTGAAAGATAAAGCTTTATACCTGTGTCGCTCACCTTGGTCTATGTGCATATTAAACAAAGGACACAGATGGATTCATGACAAAACTGTGTTTTGGTGATGGTGGTGTGTTTGTAGATCTTACTTTACTGAACATTCTTGCTGCTTACAATTATCTCTATCTATAATGAACTTGGCCAAGTAGTTACAGTGGAAAATATTTTGTAAAAATTAACAAAAATTTACAAAATTTATGAAAATTGTAAAAAATTGACTATAAAGGGCAATAACTCCTTAAGGGGTCAATCGACAATTTTGGTCATGTTGACTTATTTGTAGATCTTACTTTGTTGTACATTATTGCTGTTTACAGTTTATCTCTATCTATAATAATATTCAAGATAATAACCAAAAGCTGCAAAATTTTCTTAAAATTACCAATTCAGGGGCAGCAACCCAACAATGTGTTGCCTGATTGGTCTGAAAATTTCAGGGCAGATAGATCTTGACACAATGAACAATTTCATCCCGTCAAATTTGCTTTAAATGCTTTGGTTTCAGAGATATGAGCCAAAAACTGCATTTTACCCTATGTACTATTTTTTAGCCATGTCGGCCATCTTGGTTCGCGGGCGGGGTCATCGGACACATTTTTTAAACTAGATACCCTAATGATGATTGTGGACAAGTTTGGTTAAATTTGTCTTAGTAGTTTCAGAGGAGAAGATTTTTGTAAAAGATTACAAAAATTTACAAAAAATGGTTAAAAATTAACTATAAAGGGCAATAACTCCTTAAGGGGTCAACTGACCATTTTGGTCAAGTTGACTTATTTGTAGATCTTACTTTGCTGAACATTATTACTGTTACAGTTTATCTCTATCTATAATAATATTCAAGATAATAACCAAAAACGGCAAAATTTCCTTAAAATTACCAATTCAGGGGCAGCAACATAACAACAGGTTGTCCGATTCATCTGAAAATTTCAGGGCAGATAGATCTTGACCTGATAAACAATTTTACCTCATGTCAGATTTGCTCTAAATGCTTTGGTTTCAGAGATATAAGCCAAAATCTACATTTTACCCCTATGTTCTATTTTTAGCCATGGCGGCCATCTTGGTTGGTTGGCCGGGTCACCGGACAAATTTTTTAAACTAGATACCCTAATGATGATTGTGGACAAGTTTGGTTTAATTTGTCCCAGTAGTTTCAGAGGAGAAGATTTTTGTAAAAGTTAACGACGACGACGGACGCCAAGTGATGAGAAAAGCTTAATTGGCCCTTTGGGCCAGGTGAGCTAAAACTAGAGGCTCTAAAGAGCCTGTGTCGCTCACCTTGGTCAGTATGTGCATATTAAACAAAGGACACAGATGGATTCATGACAAAATTGTGTTTTGGTGATGGTGATGTGTTTGTAAATCTTACTTTACTGAACATTCTTGCTGCTTACAATTATCTCTATCTATAATGATCTTGGCCCAGTAGTTACAGTGGAAAATATTTTGTAAAAATTTACAAAAATTTATGAAAATTAAAAAAAATTGACTATAAAGGGCAATAACTCCTTAAGGGGTCAATCGACAATTTTGGTCATGTTGACTTATTTGTAGATCTTACTTTGCTGTACATTATTGCTGTTTACAGTTTATCTCTATCTATAATAATATTCAAGATAATAACCAAAAGCTGCAAAATTTTCCTAAAATTACCAATTCAGGGGCATCAACCCAACAACGTGTTGCCTGATTGGTCTGAAAATTTCAGGGCAGATAGATCTTGACCTGATAAACAATTTTACCTCATGTCAGATTTGCTCTAAATGCTTTGGTTTCAGAGATATAAGCCAAAATCTACATTTTACCCCTATGTTCTATTTTTAGCCATGGCGGCCATCTTGGTTGGTTGGCCGGGTCACCGGACAAATTTTTTAAACTAGATACCCTAATGATGATTGTGGACAAGTTTGGTTTAATTTGTCCCAGTAGTTTCAGAGGAGAAGATTTTTGTAAAAGTTAACGACGACGACGGACGCCAAGTGATGAGAAAAGCTTAATTGGCCCTTTGGGCCAGGTGAGCTAAAACTAGAGGCTCTAAAGAGCCTGTGTCGCTCACCTTGGTCAGTATGTGCATATTAAACAAAGGACACAGATGGATTCATGACAAAATTGTGTTTTGGTGATGGTGATGTGTTTGTAAATCTTACTTTACTGAACATTCTTGCTGCTTACAATTATCTCTATCTATAATGATCTTGGCCCAGTAGTTACAGTGGAAAATATTTTGTAAAAATTTACAAAAATTTATGAAAATTAAAAAAAATTGACTATAAAGGGCAATAACTCCTTAAGGGGTCAATCGACAATTTTGGTCATGTTGACTTATTTGTAGATCTTACTTTGCTGTACATTATTGCTGTTTACAGTTTATCTCTATCTATAATAATATTCAAGATAATAACCAAAAACGGCAAAATTTCCTTAAAATTACCAATTCAGGGGCAGCAACATAACAACAGGTTGTCCGATTCATCTGAAAATTTCAGGGCAGATAGATCTTGACCTGATAAACAATTTTACCTCATGTCAGATTTGCTCTAAATGCTTTGGTTTCAGAGATATAAGCCAAAATCTACATTTTACCCCTATGTTCTATTTTTAGCCATGGCGGCCATCTTGGTTGGTTGGCCGGGTCACCGGACAAATTTTTTAAACTAGATACCCTAATGATGATTGTGGACAAGTTTGGTTTAATTTGTCCCAGTAGTTTCAGAGGAGAAGATTTTTGTAAAAGTTAACGACGACGACGGACGCCAAGTGATGAGAAAAGCTTAATTGGCCCTTTGGGCCAGGTGAGCTAAAACTAGAGGCTCTAAAGAGCCTGTGTCGCTCACCTTGGTCAGTATGTGCATATTAAACAAAGGACACAGATGGATTCATGACAAAATTGTGTTTTGGTGATGGTGATGTGTTTGTAAATCTTACTTTACTGAACATTCTTGCTGCTTACAATTATCTCTATCTATAATGATCTTGGCCCAGTAGTTACAGTGGAAAATATTTTGTAAAAATTTACAAAAATTTATGAAAATTAAAAAAAATTGACTATAAAGGGCAATAACTCCTTAAGGGGTCAATCGACAATTTTGGTCATGTTGACTTATTTGTAGATCTTACTTTGCTGTACATTATTGCTGTTTACAGTTTATCTCTATCTATAATAATATTCAAGATAATAACCAAAAGCTGCAAAATTTTCCTAAAATTACCAATTCAGGGGCATCAACCCAACAACGTGTTGCCTGATTGGTCTGAAAATTTCAGGGCAGATAGATCTTGACCTAATGAACAATTTTATTCTGTCAGATTTGCTCTAAATGCTTTGGTTTCAGAGATATGAGCCAAAAACTGCATTTTACCCTATGAACTATTTTTTAGCCATGTCGGCCATCTTGGTTCGCGGGCGGGTCATCGGACACATTTTTTAAACTAGATACCCTAATGATGATTGTGGACAAGTTTGGTTAAATTTGTCTTAGTAGTTTCAGAGGAGAAGATTTTTGTAAAAGATTACAAAAATTTACGAAAAATGGTTAAAAATTGACTATAAAGGGCAATAACTCCTTAAGGGGTCAACTGACCATTTTGGTCATGTTGACTTATTTGTAGATCTTACTTTGCTGAACATTATTGCTGTTTACAGTTTATCTCTTTCTATAATAATATTCAAGACAATAACCAAAAACGGCAAAATTTCCTTAAAATTACCAATTCAGGGGCAGCAACCCAACAACGGGTTTTCAGATTCATCGGAAAATTTCAGGGCAGATAGATCTTGACCTGATAAACAATTTTACCTCATGTCAGATTTGCTCTAAATGCTTTGGTTTCAGAGATATAAGCCAAAATCTACATTTTACCCCTATGTTCTATTTTTAGCCATGGCGGCCATCTTGGTTAGTTGGCTGGGTCACCGGACACATTTTTTAAACTAGATACCCAAGTTTGGTCAAATTTGGCCCAGTAGTTTCAGAGGAGAAGATTTTTGTAAAAGTTTACGGACGACGGACGCAGGACGACGGACGACGGACGCCAAGTGATGAGAAAAGCTCACTTGGCCCTTTGGGCCAGGTGAGCTAAAAAGGAAACAGTTGTATCAAAAACATGCTTTGTAAATACATTCAACAATACTACAATAAATAAGGCTCCCAAGTCTGGACTGATATGATATACACAATAAAAACATAAACTGATACAATCTTTCTTACAAAGTATACAGAGCTTTTTTCCCCTGCAAATTGTTTTACCCCTTTCCTTTTATAGACATTTGGAATAAACAAATTGAACATTAGATGCACAATGCCATTAGATACTACAGATTCTCTGAAAGGTTCTCTGAAGTTAAGCAGCTGGTTTAACAGGATTAGTTGACACAAATGATGGAAAGGCAAACGCACAGAAAAATGTACAATAGAAATAACAATCAAAACAAATGAAATAATGAGTTATAAATACTTTCCTCTGTCAGAATGGTTTAGAGTTTTACATATGATACAGTCACCTATCTACTGCTATACCACGTTGACCTTTAGATATCTTTTTTGTCTTTATTGAATGCTGGCTTGTTGCCGTTTTGACTTCTACCACACTTCTGTTATTGTCCTGCTTTTAAGCCAAATAGTTTAAATTTTCATTACCCACTGACCATATTTGATATTTTTAACCTTTTTCTTTATTCTCACCTGCTTGCTAAATATTTACTCCTCCACATATCAGCCTGTATTGAAATTGCATCTAGGTTTTCGTAATCCTCTGATCTCTTTTTTGTAGTGAATCCCAACTCCTGGGTTAATTCAGCTCTATCTCTAGATTACAAATACAATGTATAAAAAAAATCTTCATACAAGAAAACTGTTGATACAGATTTTAATATTTCCGTGTCATCTTTTATACCTTAAAATTAAAAAAAAAAAGTTATGCTTGGCAAAAAATAAGACTGCACACTTCAACAAGGTAAAATTAAACAAGTGTATCATAAAAGCCTGTCTTGGTACAAAAAGTCAATGTTGTCCTTGACCTTGTTATATGCTAGAAAAAACATTTGCTGGACCTTTAATACTTATTTTCAGTTCTTATCTAGTAGCCTTATCACCTATTTTAATTTTTTTTATTCCAGTCATTGTTTTGGCATAAAGAGTTTCCTAATTCCGTAAAATGGTTGAAATAAACTGGATTTTCAGTTGTTCTACTGTTATTTGATGAAAATATAGCTTATTACAAATTTTGGAATGCTACTGAAATTTACTCAGAACTAATTTTTAGTCCTGAACAGTAAAATCTCTTTTATGCAGGAGGCAAATCTTGTTATTCATCTCATTATATGCATCGGAACAGTTCTAAAACACAAAACTGTCGCACAGGAAAGCACAAACGGAAGAATTAAAGAAAATTCCCATGTTTTCCCAACATTTTCCCTCAACATATAAGCTATATTTGAGCAAGTCACTGTGTATGAAATCATTTTAGTTTTTTTTTAATGTCTCTGGTATAAAAATTTTTGTGTGAGGTAGATAAGCAAATAATAGTGATGCAAACAAAGCAATACCTGTTCCTGGTGTATTAATTTTTGTGAATATTGTGTCCCAGACGAGACATGAACTTGAGTGCCTAATAATATACATATTTTCATTGGGTTCTTATGTAATAATTATACAAGAGTGCACACGCTGAAATGTCTCGCCTTCTTTATTAATCATTGATATTATGTTGATAGTCCTAAATATAAAGCTTTATTACAACTGTCACATAAACTTAACATTAACCAAAAAACTAAACATTGACCAATGAACCATGAAAATGAGGTCAAGGTCAGATGAACCATGCTAGGCAGGCATGTACAGCTAACAATTCTTCCATACAACAAATATAGTTGACCTATTGCTTATAGTTTAAGAAAAACAGACCATAACACAAAAACTTAACACTGAGCAATGAACCGTGAAAATGAGGTCAAGGTAAAATAAAACCTGTGCGACCGACATATAGATCATAAAATATTTCCATATACCAAATATAGTTGACTTATTGCATATATAGTATTTGAAAAAAAGACCAAAACTCAAAAACTTAACTTTGACCACTGAACCATGAAAATGAGGTCAAGGTCAGATGAAACCTGCCAGCTAGACATGTACACCTTACAATCATTCCATACACCAAATATAGTAGACCTATTGCATACAGTATAAGAAAAATAGACCAAAACACAAAAACTTAACTATAACCACTGAACCATGAAATTAGGTCAAGGTCAGATGACACCTGCCAGTTGGACATGTACACCTGACAGTCCTTCCATAGACCGAATATACTAGACCTATTGCTTATAGTATCTGAGATATGGACTTGACCACCAAAACTTAACCTTGTTCACTGATCCATGAAATGAGGTCGAGGTCAAGTGAAAACTGTCTGACGGGCATGAGGACCTTGTAAGGAACGCACATACCAAATATAGTTATCCTATTTCTTATAATAAGAGAGAATTCAACATTACAAAAAATCTTAACTTTTTTTTCAAGTAGTCACTGAACCATGAAAATGAGGTCAAGGATATTGGACATGTGACTGACGGAAACTTCGTAACATGAGGCATCTATATCCAAAGAATGAAGCATCCAGGTCTTCCACCTTCTAAAATATAAAGCTTTTAAAAAGTTAGCTAACGCCGCCGCTGCCGCCAGATCACTATCCCTATGTCGAGCTTTCTGCGACAAAAGTCGCAGGCTCGACAAAAACCATGCAACTCAATAAATGATGGCCAACAGATATTGGGAAAATAGGAGCCGATGGATAATTTTTGACACAAAGAAACATTTCATAATATTACATTCTACCTAGATATCAAATTTTCTTGAAATCTAAGCACTCTGCATACTAAGAATGTTGGCAGCAATGCTGAAAATGATGACTGCCAAATAAATTTAGACACAATAAATCAACTCAAGGTATCCTTTTCTACAGATATCAAATCTCTTCAAAATCCAAGCACTTAGAATGTTTATGTATTTTGGCTATCTCGTAATATGTAAATGGAAGCATCTCAATTTTTTGGGATGATTTTTAGACATTGAGAATCAGTTTGGAATAGCATAAGATACATATATATGTTTAACAATTTTCATTGAAATCATTACAGAAAAAAAGATGTTTCTCCAAAAATATTGATGAAACTAAGTTTTTACAGCAAATGAAGCACAACTGTACAAAATTGTGTTCCATTCCTACTAATACATTTTGTGTTCAAAAATAATATCTAAAAATAATAGCGATTTTTAAAAAAATAAAATCAAAACTTATTTTCCAATTGTCACAAAAACTAGTATGAAGAGATTTTTTGACAGCAGGAATTGATGTGGAATAGCATAATACATCTATTTATCAATTTTCATTGAAATCTACAGATGTTTCTCTAAGATATTTTTTAACAAAAGCTAAGTTTTTTACTGCCTTACCTTGCAAGTCTTTCTACTCTGGAATGTAAATCATCACCTACTGAGGCTACTAATAGTTTCTTTAATTCAGAATTAACCTAGAAAAGAAAGAACAACTGAACTGGCTTAAATAGTTATACAAAAAGGTATTCTTCGAAAAAAATTATATTTTAAGCTCAATGTCAAATTAAGTTTTCCATTCCAGGTTGTGTTGCAACAATTTTTCCTCTTGTTTTATTTTCTTCTTTTTTATAAGGTATTATTACAGGAATTGAAATTAAAATAATAAATAAAACAAAATAAATACTATAGTTTTAATTTAAAAGAAGCTTTTACATTTGCATGACAAAATATATCAAGTTTGTGTAATGTAAACAGTATTCTCCAAAGGATCTTTGAGCATCCATATCCTACCAAACTTAATTTCTTTCAGCTTCAATCATTCAATAGAATAGATAATGTTCAAGCAGATGCTACAAGTTTTATCAACAAGAATTTGAAATTTCCTGAATTAACATGAATGCAAAAATTTTGCTAGAACTTAAAAGAGGCTATCATACATGAATACAAAGGTCCATAAAATATTCAAGTTGGAAATTTGTAATTCTTTATTCAAAACACCAGAAATAAATTTTAGCCTGAAATTTTTTTTTACCTTGACCTGAACATCCAGTTCACCTCTCAGCATAACAACCTCGGCTTTTAACCTTTTGACTTCTGCCTCACTACCAGGCCAGTCTAATGGTGAGGCATTTCTTAAGACCATTTCCAGTTTTGGTGCCTCACTTTGTGGTTTTAAATTGGATTGAAATTTTTCATCCTGGTCCAAATATGGTTCTACTTTACTGACAGGTTTTACAGTACCTATTGGTAAGGATGAAGTGTCATTTTTGTCACTTTTATCCCCATTATTTAATTCACTTTTAGAAGTTTCTGCTTTCTTTTTTCCTAAAGTAGATTGAAAACTGTATTTTGGCAGTGGATGTCGAACTAAAACAGTTCCTTTGGAAGATAAATTATCAGGTACTGTAGGTGGTCTTGGTAATTGCCTCCCTTTAGACTTCAGACTTGAACTTCCATCATGGGAGATTTGAATTTCACTTTTGCTAGATGTTAATATTTTAGCAGAGGATGGAATGCTTAGTGCCATAACCTGAAGAAAAAAATCACCCTTTTAAAAAAAATTTGCATTGAGTTTTCATTCAATAATACTACATTTTTAAATGTATACACATCTTAAATTTTCCAGTTCAATAAGGGCTATAAGCATGATAAGTCTGATTTCCATTCTTCCTAACAGACTAAAATATCCTTAACTTAACATATTCCATCAAGAATGGCTGTACCTTTACATATACATGTAGTTATCATAAGAAATGAATTCCTACTTAGAACAGCAATACAGGTACAGTTTATACAACATGAGAATACATTAAAATAGGTTAAAATTACAATAAATGACACATTAATGATGTTATTTTTAAAAAAAAAGTTTATATGATAGAACACGAAGAACAATATGCATTTACTCACAAAGGTCATTTAAACAAAATTAATAAAACAATTATAAAATAAAAATATGATAAATAAATGTGGATCACCATTCTGTTTTTTTATCATCAAATCATACTTACAATTACAAGAAAAATACTTAAAATGCCTACAGTAAGAAATGTCCCTTAAAGTCTTGTTTACCTGTTTTACCTGGACATAGTGATGTATAATACATAGACATTTATCATCATTTGATGACAATAAAGTTTACTTATGGTCTTGGTATGCCTCAATAAACATTGATTTGTCAACATTCTCAGATTACATGATCCATTATTCCTGTGTTATTTTATGACTATTTGTCTTATACATTCATGATTATAAGTCCTTTTTTGAAACTATAACCGAATAAAAAACAGAGTTGATAATCAGATTTAAAAAAAAAATCATAAACAGCTGACTTTCTCTTTTTTTATCAACTATGCATGTTTATCAATTTGTCACTTGTTCACCTGATATATGCATAAATCACCAGCAGACTACCAAAATGCAGAGTGCAATAAGGGCTGTATTTTGTGTATTTTTTTTGCTGAAAATTGAACTTTTGATTTTAGATTCTCGTTATATCATTTTAAAAATTGAGGTAATACAATATTGAACTAGTGTGTCGCCAACCTGGAAAAAATACAAAAATTTGAATTTCATGGGTAATGATTTCTATAAAAGAATTCTAATTTCTTCTTCTATGACCTATTTGTCCATCTTGTATTGCTGCTCTATTGTTTTTGCTCAACACAAAAAAGGGTAAACAATCATCATTTAAGGGCAATAATTCCTGTAAGGAAATGACTGACTATTTCAGCCAAGTTACTTAATATATGTAGGACTCAGAGGTGAGATGATGAAGTATGATGGTCTTTATATGTGATATTTAGTTTAACAAGAGTGCACACACTGAAATGTCTCGCCTGTTTTTACTTATCATTGAATTTATGTGGAAGGTCTGTTCATGAAGGTTTTAATACAAGTATCACATAAACTTAACATTACCAATGTTCTATGATAATGAGGTCAAGGTCAGATAAACCAGGCCAGACAGACATGTACACCTTACAATCTTTCCATACACCAAATATAGTTGACCTGTTAAATATTTGAAAAACAGACCAAAACACAAAAACCTAACATTGACAATGAACCATGATATTGAGGTCAAGGTCAGATGATACCTGCTAGACAGACATGTACATGTACACCTTATAACCATTCCATTCACCAAATATAGTTGACCTATTGCTTATAGTACTAGAAAAACAGACTAAAACACAAAAACTTTAAATTGACCAATGAACCATGAAAATGAGGTCATGGTCAGATGAATTCTGCCAGACAGACATGTACACCTTACAATCATTTCAAGAAGTCGCTGAACTATGAAAAAGAGGTCAAAGAAAATGGTCATATGACAGACGGAAACTTTTTAACATAAGGTACATGTACATGTATTTGCATACAAGATACCGTATAAAGCATCCAGGTCTTCCATCTTCTAAATGATAAAGCTCTTTACAAATAGTTTACACAGCCGCTGCATAGTAATCTCTATGTCCAGCATACTGCGACGTTTGCAAGTCACAGGTGAGGCAAATTGCTAAAATTGAGAAATATTGTATGATTTGCTCAATCCCTTCCATAACAAGCATTCTGAGAGTATTGCATGGCAATACATAGTCCCCTACTGGGTAAAAATTCATTATACTGGAACAAAAAGCTAACTTGTTCTATAACTTGTCATGGTGTAAACAAAAAGAAAATATCAAGTCAATATCTTCAAGCATTACTAAAAACAGTCTGGAAAACTGATTAAATGAGTGAATTTTTCAAGTCCAAGGACCATAACTCTGCACAAAATTCTTCAAATAATTTAACAAAGAATGTCTTTTAAAAAATTAGTTATCTCCCTTTGTACAGAAATATGGTTTAACATAGCACTCTAATGTTAGATATGGTCCAGAGTTATGGTCCATAACTCTGGACTAAATCATCAGACCAGAACAAAATTCGAACTTGATCTATAACTTGTCATGGCAAAACTATATACCAAATATCAAATCAATATCTTCAAGAACAAAGAAAATAAACTGCTTCGCTGAGCGCAGCTGGAAACGCCCGCAGAGGTCCAACCCTGAACAGTTGGGGCAAAAATGGACACAATATTCAAGCTTGATACAGGTCTGAATTTGGATTGTAATTGAATATTTGACATATTATAGGTTTCTGAATAAATGTAGTCAAAGAACTTGAAATTGGTTATATGAATTGAATTTATATGCAATTAAAGATTTCTTGCTGTTGTGCAATACACTGTGCTGTTGCGCAATACTTAGTAAATCTGTTGTCAGACTATAAACAAATGAAGTTCAATTTCTTCTCAATGACATATTTGAAATTTATGAAAATCAATAGGGAGATTACATCAATAGCTATAAATAATTCACCAAAATTTCATGAGAACTGCTGAAAGTATTTTTGAGTTATTGTCCAAAAACTGGAAAATCCCCCCTTTTTTAATGAATAAAACCCTATAACTCAGAAATGTAAAATCTAAATTTATAAAATTCTAAAGGAAGCTTTTAAGCAACAGATATAAACAATTCACCAAAGTTTCATGAGATTGTCAGAAAACTGGAAAATCACCCTTTTTTATGAATAAAACCCTGTAACTTGGAAACGTAAAATCTAAAATTTATAAAATTTGAAAGGGAGCTCATGTCAATAGATATAAACAATTCACCGAAATTTCTTGCAAGTTGGTGAAAGCATTCTTGAGTTATTGTCGGAAAACTGGAAAATCCCCCCTTTTTTAATGAATAAAACCCCAAAACTCAGAAACAGTAAATCTGAAATTTATAAAAAATGAAAGGGAGTTCACGTCAATAGATATAAACAATTCACCAAAGTTTCATGCATATTGGTTAAAGCTTTTTTGAGTTAATGTCAGACATGTTGACGACGGACGAACGGACGGACGGACAGACAGACAGACGGACGGACAGACAGATGGTCAACGGTATACCATAATACGTCCCGTAAACGGGCGTATAAAAAGTGTGGAAAATTGATTTGCCGGACTGACGGATTGACAGACGGACAGAGTGCAAACCTAAAGTCCCCTTCGACTTCGTTGGTAGAGGACTAAAAAGTTAATTACCAGACCTATGCCATGCTGAATGCTATGATGACCTATGACAACAGGTATTACCTGTTGTCATAGATCATCATAACATTCAGCATTGCATAAAACATACAAACATAAGCTCTGATGAGTTTTTTACTGAATATAAAAACGTAAACAAAACAAAGCACCATGAATGTATGTATGTATGTACGTAGATCCCTCTGTTTTTTTACGAGTACCCCTCAAGAGCTTTGAGGGTACATTGGAATCCATGTACACTACTATCAAGATTAATGGAGATGTGTCACTAACATATTTACAACAATATTTACAAGCAGGGCTCACACTACTTCAGAATCATAGGGAGAAGTGGTGAGATTTGAAAGAGAAGTAAAATTGAGAATGGAAATGGGGAATGTGTCAAAGAGACAACAACCCGACCACAGAACAGACAACAGCAGAAGGCCACCAACAGGTCTTCAATGCAGCGAGAAATTCCCGCACCCGGAGGTGTCCTTCAGCTGGCCCCTAAACAAATATATATACTAGTTCAGTGATAATGAACGCCATACTAAACTCCAAATTGTACACAAGAAACTAAAATTAAAAATAATACAAGACTAACAAAGGCTAGAGGCTCCTGACTTGGGACAGGCGCAAAAATGCGGCGGGGTTAAACATGTTTATGAGATCTCAACCCTCCCCCTATACCTCTAGCCAATGTAGAAAAGTAAACGCATAACAATACGCACATTAAAATTCAGTTCAAGAGAAGTCCGAGTCTGATGTCAGAAGATGTAACCAAAGAAAATAAACAAAATGACAATAATACATAAATAACAACAGACTACTAGCAGGTAACTGACATGCCAGCTCCAGACTTCAATTAAACTGATTGAAAGATTATGTCTTCATCATATGAATATCAGGCACAATCCTTCCCGTTAGGGGTTTAGTATCATACCATCATAACATATATGAGAAGAACATAACCCGTGTCATGCCAACAACTGGTTTTTAAATAAATGTGTTTAGTGCCGATGCAAAGACCCTATAAGTGAATCAATATTAACGCCAAAATATGCAATCTTTAATGACCTGACAACAGTATCGTAACTATATCCCTTCTTAATAAGTCTATTTAAAGGTTTTGTTAGTTTCAGAGGTGAATACTGACATTTTACTTAAAATCTAAAACATTGTTACATACACGAGCGAATCGTACAAGTTGAGATATATAAACACCGTAAGATGGTGACAAGGGAACGTCACCATCTAAAAATGGATAATTAACGATAGGAAATGAAAAATCATCTCTTTTATCATATATTTTAGTATTAAGCTTTCCGGTAATGATATAGATATCAAGATCGAGGAAAGGGCAGTGGTCATTGTTAGTATTAGCTTTATTTAAAGTAAGTTCAACAGGATAAATTTCTTTAGTATACATACTGAAGTCGTCATTATTGAGAGCCAAAATA